AGATAGGATCAGGTTCTCTTTGAGCCGCGAGACACTTCTGGGATGCCTCAATTTCTGCAGTTAACACAGGGCTAGACAGGAAATCACACACAAGTTCAGTGTAAAATCCCTGGTAAAGTTCTAAATAAAAGTACTGCAGTGATGCAATTTCATATATATGTAGCTTACGTGTGACCTAACGACTTATTTACTCACAGCATCGTTCCAGAAGTGCAGCGGTGTGTTTTTCATGGCTTTAATCCTGAAAGTAGAGAGGAACGGCATCATATATGACATCAAACAGCGATTTAACATGTGATTTCCTTCATTTTGGTTTCACGGCAGATTGCTTTGTAATTAAAACAGCAACAAATCAGAAGTTGCATGCATGACATCACCACATGGCCAGGTTTAAAGTAGTTTTCTCCACGTTTAACGCTTCTACTGTCGTCCTGAAAGAAGGATTTGAAGCTCGCTAAACTCACAGTCATTTTTCTTTTCCTGTTCTCCATGTCTGGTTCGATGACGTCCATTTGGTGCATTTGTAGTCCTACACACCTTTTCATTCGAAACCTAAAAAACTTTTGCCACCTGTTGAAAATAAGCACTTTCATGGCATCAAAATGCGTCTTTAAAATTCACGGACATCGTACGTTAAATCCACGGCACATATCAAAATGACCAGGAAACAATTCTATCCTCACATAGACTCCCATTCGTTTTCTTTGGCAGTTGGGGAACCCATGGTGCTGAACTAGATGGGCGGGGCTTTTGCCCTCTTTCACATTTCTGGTGACATTTCTGTTCTTTCAAGCAGGCTGTTGATGTCAACTGACACATATGAGGCATACTTTTCTCTAGAACAAATACAAAAATAACCATAAAACACTTTTTGGACTTTGTGGCCCACAAAGACCCTTAACTTGACCATTTTGGCCCTTGTCTTGAAAGGTTCTGATACTCCTGCTTTAACTATATAAATGGTAAATGACCTGTATTTGATATAGCGCCTTCTAGAGTCATGGAACCCCCCAAGGCACTTTACAACACAATCAGTCATTCATCCATTCACACACACATTCACACCCTGGTGGGGATGAGCTACGATGTAGCCACTGCTGCCCTGGGGCGCACTGACAGAGGCAAGGCTGCCGAGCACTGGCGCCACCGGTCCCTCTGACGTGGATGTGTCCTTGGGCAAGGAGTGTCTTGCGACAGACTGAGCGGGGCTCGAACCTGCAACCTTCCGATTACGGGGCGAGCTCTTAACTCCTGTGCCACCGTCGCCCCCAACGATGCAGGAGGAGACTTGTTCAGGCAGGTTTAAGGAGGAAGAAGAGCTAGACTACAAAATAAAACAGGAAGTAAAACACGATAGATGACCATAAACCCAGAATAAAATGTAAACTAAAACCTGATGAATGAACTGCGACTGCGGACGGCCGTCGGCGAAACTGTAGCGTCAATAACAGGTAACAAAAACTGTTTCTGTGTTTTAAAAAAGAACGACAACATGGAATATTTCTGAGCAATCTGCTTTAAGTGTAGAGATGTAATCATGCTGTTCCAGCATGAATGGCCTTGTCAACATGCTACATTTACCCATCTGAAAGAAAACTGTATTCTCACAGCAGCTGAGAGGCCCATCTTTTTTCCCCTGTTCAACATTGCAATCAGTATTCTGGTCCATAACCCAACAGTTCAGCTCCAAGGGCACAGCTTTTCCTCTCAAGAATGCAGATACAACATAGTGCCCCCATTGTCCAGCGACGTGAGCTGACTGACAAGTTCTGCGTGGACAATACGAGTAATGTTGCTGCTTTATTCTAACTGACTTAACCTCATTTAACTCCAAGTGCACCAGTCTTCACCAAGAATTCTGCAAATAATGCCATTGTGTTTTAATTGTTTGGATTTACATTGACGTTATGTGCATGCAAATAAGGACAGACACCATTGTTTAGACTAGTAAATAAAAGTGTTGGATCGCACCAGTTTTACTTCCTTTTTCCCACTCAGTGTTTTATGTAACCATTTGGGTTTTTAAACAATCTGCAAAGTCCTGAAATTCACACTTCAGGCTAATTTCGAAGCACAATCGAGACGAACCAAAAAGAAAGAGTGCAACTGACTCCACTATTTCTGACCAATCAGAGCAGAGTGGATTTTTTTAGTGAAGGGGCCTTGAAGGAACAGGAGCAAAGTAAAAGTTAGAGAGCTTATGCTTTAAAGTTAGGTTCTGATGAAAGGTTATGAGTACCGGTAGATTTCTGCTGGAGCAATCTCACTTTGGAGAAGTGGACATTAGTTATGGCCAGACTGACAAGCTAATGGCTAGTTTAAAGTGGGTCAAAATGCTGCCATCCAAGAACAAGTCTTATCTCAAAACAGTTGTATATAAAATATCAAATCATTACATACATACAAGTTTATTGTTATTTTGGGTGAAAATTAGCACTGGAGCTAGCTGTCTTTAGCACCGTTGGTCACACATTTGTGTTACCTCTGCCTGAGTTGTTGAGATTAGCTATTTCCCACAGTTTTTGAATCACATATAATGTTGTGAGCAAGACAACTTTTCCATGGATCAGTTTAGTGCAGGGCTAAAAACTCATATAGAAAAACACAATAAATCATATAATATAAAATTAATCTAATATAACAAATGCAATTGTTATGCACTTTATTTAATCAACTTGCCAAGCAGTTTAAAAACTATTTATAACAACCTGCATAAAATAAGACTGATTGTGAATTTATTGGCTTGAGGCATCTTTGCCAGGTCATGTTGGTAAATGAGAACATTTTTCCTGGTAAAATAAAGGTTCAAAAGATTGTTACATTAAAGGTGTGGAACACAGGCAAACCACCATTTCTGATTATAATCAGTCATTCTGAGTGTAAAATACAGGCTGAAGATGAATAGTCTCCTACACATATCTCCTGCATTAGCTTCTGATAGAAAATAGATGGTGAAAGGCGAGGATTTCAAAAGCCTGACAAAGTGACATCACACTGTTACTTAACATTCATGGACTCACCCATCTTGACTCACATCATGGAAGGCTTTTGTTGATTTGACATCCAGCAAACAGCAGAGAACCTGTCGACTAGCAGAGGCTAACCGTTAGCATTAGCAATTCCACCACATGGCAGAACTCCTCTAGGCTTGTGTTATTTGTGGAGATTAATGTTGCAGGTTTAAACAGAGTCAGTGGTAGAGTCATGCTGCTGTTGGCCAATCAGAGGTGAGATTTCAGGAAAAAAAATCAAGAAGTAAGACTCCAAGTCCTCCCTTTTAAAACTTTCTTCTGATGAGGTAATCTTCTAGATCCTGAAAGAGGCGCACCAGGGCTTTTTGTACACAGAGTACGACTTACAAGGCATTCATTCCTACTAGAGAGCACTGTAAATGCATTGATTAAACAAATGAACCACATCTTTAACTTTTAGTCATCCGTTACCATTTGTTAAATTTCTTGGGCCAATTTTTGTCGCGATCTTTTAGTTGTTGTTGTTTTTATTTTTGTTTTGTGTTTTCTGTCCGAACTGCGGACTCCCTAAGTACCTACTCGTATGTTGAGGTCAGCTGACCGTCTACATCTTTGCACTCCCCGGATGTCCTACAAATCACGAGGTGAACGTGCGTTTGTCCATGCTGCCCCCATGCTCTGGAACTCATTGCCCATTATAGTTAGGCTGGTATCCTCCCTGCCTGTTTTTAAATCTCGTTTAAGAACCCACTTTTATGACTTGGCTTTTAGACAGTCATTCATGTTATCGTATTATGATTTTATAGTTTTTATTGTTGTGTTTTATCTTCTTATTGTTTTTTCTTTTTTCTTTTAATTGATCCTGCGTGTTCAGCACTTTGGTCAGCTCTCACGCTGTCTTAAATTGTGCTATAGAAATAAAGTTGGAATGGTATGGTATGGTTTATTTTTTTACTATAAACTTGAAAGCAAAAATGAGAGAAGGTATGAACGCTGGACTCTGCAGTCACAAGACTGTTAGTAATCTGGCAGGCAGGCAGAGACTGAGGAGAGCTTATGTTGTCCTGGTGAAACACGCAGGTCAGGTGTGCTCAATAAGGCTGATTAGGAAAAAGAAAAGGTTTCCCCAGTGAATGTTTGCTGAGGGAAAAGAACTAAACCAACTCAACCCAAAACCAGTTCATCATGATCATTTTCTAATCTTTCCTCTCGTATAACTGTAATGTTAATCCAATAGTGTCAAGTCTTCATGTATAGGTGAGCCACCATGGCACCATCGCATTAAGTCATTACACGCTGGTGAAACTCATCAGCCCACCCTTCCCCGTGGGGAGCGGTGGGCTGCTGCTGTGGCTGCACTCGGGAACTATTTGATGGTTTAGATGGCAACAATTAACTTTGGTCTTTACCCCATGCAGAACTAAACTCCATTCTCTACTCTATTTGTGAGCAAAAACCCACCGTTCCATTCCAACATGAACATATTTTTATTAAACCTTCGTTGTTTAAGTGAGTTTACCTGTTTAGACTTCGATTAGGTTTAAATCTTGATAAGTTCTGAAAGTTTTGGGTGTGACCGAGGAGTTAGTTCACTTTTTCCTCTCAGAGTGATCCACTTAAAAGCTTCCCTGTTTGGACTGGAAACACTCAATGTTTCCAGTCCAAACAAAAAAAAAAAGTCTGAAGAAGTACACAGGCAAACGTTGGTGCTGTTTAACTAGAGAATTCTTCTGTCAAGTTAATCTGAAAGAATAGAAGCGTTACGATATTAAAGTCCTTAATAGGTCTGAAAATCCCAGGCTGTCACTATCAATCAGTCATTTTCATGCCGGGCACAAACACAGCAACAAAGGAAAGAGTAAGGGACGCAGAGGGGCTCGGTGGAGTGAGTGCCACTGGCAGCCATTCAAACAGCTCGCTCTTTTGTTTTTTATTCCTCCGGCAGAACAGTGTGACAGTGTTTCACTGTTCCAGATTCACAGAGGGGAGTCGCCCTCCGGTTATTTATCAGCGTGTCCTCGAGGTCGGGCAGCAATCGCCCTACATTTCAATGGTCACATCAGCAGACAGATAATCAGTGAGATAAAGAATCACATCTTCCACGCCAGCTTGGCCAGGGTGCGGCAGGTGAAGGGGTGTGTGTGTGTATAAGTGGAGGGCACTGGGGCATTCCCAGTCCCACAGTTTCCCAGTGCCTCATCCACACCGGACAAGCCTGCAGCCATGGCGTTCAACGGAACCTGGAAGGTTGACCACAGCGAGAACTATGACAAGTTTATGGAGCAGCTGGGTGAGTTAAAGAGTTCATAGGTTGTGTGTGTGTGTGTGTGTGTGTGTGTGTGTGTGTGTGTGTGTGTGTGTGTGTGTGTGTGTGTGTGTGTATGAATAATGTTTTCAAAGAATACTTACACCTATGGAGCTAAAAGCTTTTTCATTTCAAAAGAATCGTGATGTAGAAGTAGTTCTTTGAAAACTCTAAAACATGGATTCTATTTTAAAATATTACTAATGAAAATCCAACAGTTCTGTTTTTCATTCTCTGTTTTATTCGCCCACATCAGAAAATTTCTGTTGCCTAACTTTTAGTTATGGTTGCAAAGCTCAAACTTTGTTTCAAAACTCCAACTTTGGATTAAAAAACGCAACTTTTACTTGAAAAACTCAACTTTTAGTTGAAAAACTCAACTTTTAGTAGCAACACTCAACTTTTAGTTGCAAAACTCCACTTTTGGTTGAAGAACTCAATTTTTTGTAGCAAAACTCAACTTTTAGTTATGGTTGCAAAGCTCAAACTTTGTTTCAAAACTCCAACTTTGGATTAAAAAATGCAACTTTTATTTGAAAAACTCAACTTTTAGTTGAAAAACTCAACTTTTAGTAGCAACACTCAACTTTTAGTTACAAAACTCCACTTTTGGTTGAAGAACTCAATTTTTTGTAGCAAAACTCAACTTTTAGTGGAAAAACTCAACTTTTAGTAGCAGAACTCAACTTTTAGTTGAAAAACTCAACTTTTAGTAGCAAAACTCAACTTTTAGTTGAACAACTCAACTTTTAGTTGCTAAACTCCACTTGTGGTTGAAGTACTCAATTTTTTGTAGCAAAACTCAACTTTTAGTTTAAAAACTCTATTTTTAGTAGCAAAATTCTACTTTTAGTTTAAAAACTCAATTTTTAGTAGCAAAACTCAACTTTTAGTTGAAAGACTCAACTTGTAATTGCAAAACTCCACTTTTGGTTGAAAAACTCTACTTTTAGTACCAAATCTAAACTTTTAATTGAAAAACTCAACTTTTGCTTGAAAGACTTTTAGTAGCAAAACTCAACTTTGGGTTTCAAATCAACTTCTGGTTGGAAAACATTTGGGCTGAACCAAAAGTTTGAACTTTGCAGACATGAATCACCTATAAAGTGGTTGTTTATTCACTTGTTAAAAGTATAATCAAAAGATTTCTAATTTCTTGAGGTAAAACAACTATCCAATCCAGTGTCTTATCCACTAAATCTAATGTGCTTTTTTCACATTTTGCATCCTTGTGAAGGCATCAATGTGATGAAACGGAAGCTGGCCGAACACGACAACCTAAAGGTCATCATTGAGCAAACTGGAGACAAGTTCCACATCAAGGAGTCGAGCACGTTCCGCACCAAAGAGATCGACTTCACCCTGGCCGTCCCGTTTGACTACACCATGGCTGATGGCACAGAACTCTCAGTGAGTGCCTTAAAGGGACCAAAATGTATCCAATCAGCAGGGGATGGGCTTGCTGTAGAGAGAATGGGACCAATTAATCAATGACACATTGATATTAATTTTATTTGGTCTTTTATTTTGAAATCAGGGAACATGGGAGTTGGATGGTGACGTTCTTAAAGGCAAATTCAACCGGAAAGACAACAACAAGGTTTTGACCACCACGAGGGCTCTGGTGGGTGGGGACCTTGTGCAGGTCAGTGAGGGCTTTATAATGCAACATAAACTTTAATGAACCTTTAACTGACCACAACTCTCTTTCTCCTGCAGAGTTACAACTACGAAGGCGTGGATGCAAAGAGGATTTTCAAGAAGCAATAACCTCCTATTTCATATTTTTATATAGATGACACAAAGTGTTTGTATTCTAACTACAGGGCATAGCCAAGTCAAGTGTATTCTGAAAATGTTTAAATAAATTTACCTCATAAAGTTGTTTTTATGTGTAAACCAGAGGAAAGGTTCGTTTTTAGTTTTGGTCCCGTCTCTTCTAATATTTTACATTTTCCACAGCATCTTCTGGGTCATTTTGAATAAAATAAGCCACAGTTCCCCTGCCTGCCATGAATGCTGTATTTTTAAAAAGTGTGGCAGCGTCTTTATTTAGTTGAAAGAATTTTACTCCTGCAAAGAAAAATCAATGGAAGAAATTGTCAAAGCATTTTTTGGGGGAACTTAAAGGCGTTGGTACATGTTGTTTGGTCTGAACAAACCAGCTAACCGGTGCAGTCAGTCTGTAAAAGAGAAATGCTTCATGTTTCTGGGTGAACAAACCTAACTCCTGGAACTCAACCAGCAGGAGTTTAAGTCTTTCTGCACTAATAAAGGAGCTTTATAGTGTCTCTGCTGTTTGTGCTTTGTTGCATAAATGGGCCTCAACTTCTGTTATCGCCATGGAAACCTGAAGTAGGTTATCTTTACAACAGGGAGGCTGTGGGAACCATGACTACAGAGGGTGAATTATGTGGAATGTAACATGACTGTGTTGTGATTTTGTTCAGATGTCATGAGTTCTCCTTCGAGGGGAGAGTTAGGGATGAAGGTTTTATCTTGAGAGGGGTTCGCAGGAAGTAGACAATGGAGTCCATTCAGTGGTTGGAGGGCGGAAGATGTGTCTTCTTTCAGGAAATGAGGAAAAATGTGCAATAGTGTTTAAGGACCACAAGAGGGCAGCACAGGTACGGTTAATGTCAGCGCTGAAAAGGACCAGAAATAATTGACTGTTTTTTGTACAGTACAATAAACACCAAATAAGTACAAAAAAGTCATTGAATCACCCAAAACATGTTTATCTCCACTCTGAGATTTATTATCAGAACATGATTGAAATGACAGAGTTGATAAATGTGTTGGCAGCTGCAGTTACAAATACAGAAGAATAAAAAAATGTTAAAATTTAGAATGAAATAGAAAGTAGATAATAAACAGAATAAAAAGTGATCATGGTGATATTAACATAGTATTGCACTTGGATGGTTCAGAGTAAATTGTACATTTAAAACACAAAATAAAATACTTGAGTGGAGAAATGCATATTAAAGTCTACAGTATATTGCTGCTGGCCAGTGTAGCCCTCCCGCAACATGTAATCTGATTACATCTGATGAAAACCAGTTGAATGATGCCTGAGCAGCTCCTCCTTTCACACCTGCCTCTGTGACTGTAGCAGATTTTGTACAAACTCATCATGACTGAGATGCAGGATGCTCCCCACCTCTCACCTGATGGCCACTGGAGTTGAGACGCCAGGCCAGCTCCCCACGACCCAAGTGAGCAGTTCAGATAATGAGCGTTCAAAGCTGTAAAGTCATCACAAGCCCACAGAGGAGCGCTGTCGAGCCCTGCTTTCTAGAGAAAATGGGCCTCCGTTGATCTATGATGTCATCCTGAATCTGGCTATCATATGACACACACACACACACACACACACACACACACACACACACACACACACACACACACACACACACACACGCGCAACATAATATGTGCTCTTAGCCCTAAGGTTTTTATTGCTGAGGGGTTATGGGGTTTGTGTGATCACGGGCCGTCTAAAGATGGTGGAGAAGCAACAAAAAGACCAAAAAAGGAAGAAAAATAAACCCAAGGAGAATCTCTTTCCTGCTGTGGAATTAAACTTACTTTATACCAGGGGGAGGCAATCCTGATCCTCGAGTGCTGCTATCCAGCATGCTTTTTGTTGTTTCCCTGCTCCAACACAGCTGAATTCAATCAGTAAGTGATTAACAGGCCTCTACAGAGATGCTTTATAACCAGTTGAACAGATGACTGAACCGTTTGATCTGGTTTGTTTGGGCAGGGAAACAACTAAAACATGCTGGATAGCAATCCTGGAAGAACAGGATTGCCTACGCCTGCTTCAGATGGACAAACACAAGACCATGTGTAGATTGGGAGGGTTTCCAAGAACCCACAGCCGTTCTTGGACAGCCATTGTTCAGACCATGACTGTGCAGACTTCTGCAGACACACTCAGGCTGCCGAATGATGACTCAGTATTACTCAGCATTGAATTCTCCAACCAAGCCTCTCCAAAGAGCTTTTGTTTTGAAATTCAAGCCTCTGGAAAGCTAACCTGCTCCCAGCGCAGCTGTCTTTGTTTTCATGTGCTTATTTTGTTCTTCTCAAGATATCTTTGTAAGATAGCAAATCATCTTTGCATGATTAGCCTCAACTTTCCGATTAGGATTTATCCGAGGAGAGAAAATATCCAAATACCGGTACTAGTTTGTATTTAATCATTTTATGCGCACATTAATATTTCTGTTTATGACGAGGGCTCCCACTGGGTAATGCCAAACTCTAACACCAGTCTTGTTGTGGTCTCCAGAAATCAAACAAAGCTTTAGAAATGTCTCGGTAACTGATGTAAAAGCTAAAGACAGTGGTCATCAAGTCACAGGTGAGCTACTTTTGCGTTTGTGGAGCTGAAAACTTAGCGAACCACTGGTTTTATGTGCATCAGTCTATAAAACAAAAGATAAAGGAGAAACCAAGGAGCATATCTACAGAGAAAGGGGACATCAGCTCTATTGATTAATGAAACCTAATATGGCTGAAATACTTAATAATGATCAAAATTCAAGACAGACTGACAGTTTTATTGTATAGGTCAGGTGATAAATCATTAAAACTTTAATTCAAGCATGCAGCACCGACTGATTCATTCAGCAAGGTGCAGAAACCTTCGTGCAACAGAATTTGTGGGTTTGCAGCTAGGAGACAGTCAATGAATGACAACACTAACACCTCTTTAATGCGCTCCTCAAAGGGAGTAACACCATTACAATGTGTTGGACGTGCGGATGCATCCAATCACAGCTGCTCTGACAAGCCGCGTGAACACCTCCTCACACCCCACCCCAGACATGGGCGAGTGTACGTACCATGTGAGAAGCTGCTGGACGCCGCCTCGTGTGACTGAGCTGACAGATGAGAGAGGAGACGAGGAGCTAAATTGGCTCTGGCCTCGGTCTCAGGAGTGGTCCGCTCCTGGGCTGGGCGGGCTATTCTTATAGAGGGCAGCAAGAGGTCTGCCGCTCTCCTGGTACAAAAACCACTTTATGGTTTCCCACATCATGTTTTGATGGTCTCATGGGGTTGTGGGGGAGGTGTTAGACAGTGACAAGTGTGAAAGATGAACAAGGCACAATGTACAGGTGGATTTCTAAACAGGCAGATGGTATAGCCTCTAAATTTTTATGTGCAAGTCATTTCTGCTATGTCCAGTTCCCTCTCTAAATGTGTATTTTGGACCTCGTCAACAATAAATTTTCATGACTCTTACTCTAACGGTTACTGTTTATTAGTCCTCAGGTGATGCTGGCATAGATTGATGAAAGACATCCATTAAAAGTCTTTTTACGTGGTCATAAATGTTCCTAGGAATAAACCTTTTGGTTTTAAAGCTATTAAAGGTGCAATAGGAGATGTTTTGTTTTTCGGCAAATTGCTTGACATGCTCTTCGTGCACCAAAGGCATCCAATAAAATAAATGTTTGTCAAAAAATCATTTTAATAGCTTCTGAAATGTTCAGTGCTAGAAAAACCCCTCATCCAATCACTGTGAATGTCCCGTTCTTAACTCATTCACTGCCAATGACGATTAAAGTTGTCATTTGCACTTTTTACTGTTTGGGCATCGGAAAGAGCCCCCGCGCCAAGAGAACAAACATCTTAGCTCTGAAACCGATCTTCATCTGCATAAGTCACACGTCACATGATCAGGAAGCAGAAAATCCATGTGTTAGATCGTTTTGGGCCGTTCCTGTAAAAAAAAAAAGTGAGGCGCGAACCAGAAACGTGTCTGCCAATCACAATTCAACAATGGATTATGAAAGAACGGATAACGCTCGAAACACGCGGATTCTTCCTGATGTAAGAGGTGAGACTCCTCTTTGTTTTGGCGTTGACATCATCCTAGCGCTCAACGTTTTGTGACTTAAAAAAACAGTAAAAACGGCGAGAAATGCTGGCAGCGAAGGCCTTTAGCGATCAGGAAACAGCTGGCAGTGAATGAGTTATTCACTTAAACAGCAAGAAACACATCCTTTATTCCACCTTAATTCTGTATTTATTTTCTGGAAAATCTGTTTTCGTTGTCTCTCCTGGTGTTACCAAAAAGCCTTTCTTGCACTTCCATGAGGTCATCCAGCACTGTCAAGTTTGTTTTCACAAGCCTGAATGTGTTCAGCCATGTTGTGGAGTCGCTAATGCTAACGGTTAGCTTCTAGTAGCAGAGACACGCTCTGCTCCCTCCTGGACGCTGACGCATCAACAGCCTTCTGCGCATCTTCATGGGTGAGTCCATGACTAACTTACAGTGTGAGGAAGATCTGAGTGGCTTTTCCTGTCCGTTTCACTTTCAGTAACTGCTGCAGGAAATAAGACTATTTTTACTTTCAGCATGCATGTGAAACTGATTGTATTTCAAAAAGAACAAATATTACACGTCAGTAAACTTCACTTTTAATTTTTTAAGGGCCCTCGTTTCCCCGAAAAATGTAAAAATTAGCCCAGCATGCAAATTCCATAGAAACAGCTTTTCCATTTTTAAATAATTATCAGATATCTTAATTTTTGGTCATAATTGGGTTTTTAATTCTAAATCATTGTGTCAGCTCTTGTGTTTTATGATTTGTTTAAATGGAAAAATGAAAACCATTACACCATCTAAAACGTCGATCTTTAATGACAGATGGACTGAAATGTCTTCACTCAACATTTTCAAAAAAATGTCTGTTTGATCACCAATTATTTACTTTTCAACAAACAAACCTCCGCGACTCACCAAGATACAGTTTCTCCTTACAGCGGCTAAAGTACATAAATACCAACAGTACTTGTATGCGCTAAGAAAAAGAACAAACATGCCGTGAACATGCACAACACACAGTTACACACCGAACCAAGTAAAGGGAAAGGAGGGATCATCTTTTCAATTTTCCAAGAATATTTGTACCATAATGTTGGAGGGAACAAAAACATGTAGATTTATTTGTTCAAAAAGCTTTTTCTTCTCTGAACTTCACAGTGAATTATAACGGTATTCACATATCACACCCTGGCCACTCCGTTCAGACACACGAAAAACAAACAGATCTAGAAAATGTATCAAATGAATATACAATTAAACTTACAATAATACTTACAAATCGTTATACAATAGGAATCAACTTTAAAAAGAAAATCTCTCAGAACACACATACACACTTTCTATAAATACTTTTTCTAATAAATTTGGTGCCACACACAGCATAAAGTAGTAAAAACAACAAAAAATGATTTATTAAATCACCTTTATATGAATCTCACAATTGAACACTTAAAAACACTGACTAATGTATAGGATTCGCCCAGTCCAAGATGAGTTTACACACTTAGCTAAACGTTATAGGGGATAGTATTCTTACAGATGTATTGTTTTTTAATTCCTCACATTAACAAGAAACGAGACCTTCATCAGAAAAGAACAAGAGTCGGTTCACAAATGCAACAAGAATGATAAATTTGGCATCAAAAGCATCTGATCTTAATGATATGTTGTACAGCAGGACGTCATTGCCGACCCAGAAAGACACCAGAGTTTTTTCTCTTCTTCTAACTGATCATTAATATGTAAATTTACAAAAGCAGGTTGAATCGCTTGCTAAAAATAGGCAGAAAAGAAAGTGAAGTTTCTGTCTTTGGAGTGACACCAGAAGGGACAAGCTGTAAAAATAGTGTCATACTTCAGCAGAAATCAGAGTGACGACCACAAAGCAGTCAGAAACAGAATAATTCTAGCTCTCTAGTGTAAAAATATTACTTTGGTCTTTTGTTTCTCTGTCCTCTTGCTGCACAAACGACTACTAATAGCCGATCTTCGTTTGTCACGTGCCGCCGTCTCTGGGGTCGTTCACCGTCACCGGCAATGGCTTTTTCCTGTCGACGCCTCTTTTAACACATCTGATTACTGCAAACGGCTGAATTATGAGCCGGATCTGGTTGTCTTTAGCTTCTAACACGCCCGGAATAAAGAAAATATGTTTTTATTCGTCGTTATAAAAACTGTAAAAGACACGAAGCAGAGTGACGGGGCTGCTTTGGTGTGGCAGGATGACTCGGGGTTTTAAAAATGGCACAAAAAAGAAGAAAAAGACAACAAAAAGTCTGAAAATTCCTCACACACATCTTTGCAGAACAATCAAAACATTTCAACATCGTCTTGATTATAAAAATACTTTTTGTATTTCTTTTAAAATATCTAAAAATTTACAGCATCGTCATTTTTTTTCTTGTTTCGTTTTTTGCAAAGTCATGCTTCAACATGTATTTATTATAATAACATTGATATGAATGATATACAGAATAGTAATTATTATATAACAACATTACTCGATAGCGCTTTAGCCACACTTCTATCTGGTCCGTTTCACCTCCTGGCGCTCCTGCGGCGTTCCGAACGTTTATATTTATGGATACAGGAGCGGGAATTCTGCCAGCGATAGGAAGGGTGCTCCATATTTCAGAGGAGGTGTAGCCAAAGCGCTGCCCGTATGTAACAGCATATAAAAAAAGAAGAAGTTGCAAAGACTTGGGGGAGGGCTTGGGCTGGGGGTGTTGATGTGTGATGGAGGCTGTGGGGGGTCTAGTATATCCTGAAGCCCATAAGGCTGCTGCTGCCTGGGGGAGAAACACACACACACACACATGCACACACACACACAGGGAAAAGATAAGGGGAGGTTGTCATGGTCATATGAAACTTACACGCTAATGAAAACACGAGGGATCGTGCACAGTTCCCATTAAATCTCACACTAAGGGTCGACTCTGTAATAAAGACACGGACACAAAAATCCAGTTTTTCTTATTTTCTCCCAAGTTTCTCACACTTGCCATTCAGATGCCGAGGCAACGCCCGCTTTCATCCCACGAAACGGAAAAAAAAGCTTCTAATACTGTTTTTAAAGCCTTTTAAGTTGAATAAACTCAAACAAGCTGAGATAAAAGCTGACACTGTGTCAGTATGGCTTGGTGGTTATTTTAATTCTGTACGAATTCTTTCCTTTGGCAGAAATAAGGATTCTTTAACAAAGATTATGTCAGACAAGTGAGAAGCAAACTGCTTTGGTGGCTGGGTGAGAACTGCACCTCCTGTCCTCAGCTGTTTGGATCAATGGCTGCCAAGTCAGAAACTCACCGACGGCTGCGCTGCTCCGGGTTCTGGAGTCAGGTCGATTCCCCCCCGTTTCTTTTTTTTAAATAAAACAAGAGGTAATCAGCAACGCCCGTCACAGCCGCACACGGCCACCATCACACATCAGGCACCTGGAAAGAAGCACAAAAACTACAGTTTTTCTCTGTGAAATTGGAGTTTCTTTGGTATTTAGCAACTTTTGAAAGTATACAAACATATTTTTCACTGATTTACCAAAGGTTGACTTAGAAGAGATAAAGCAAGTAAGGCTCTCTGTTTAACACGTCCAAAAATAAGTCCAGATTGCCAATATGCAGGAGAAATGAAGGAGCGGTTTTTTTCCAGGAACTCCTCTGGGATATTTTCAACAATTTTCTCAGGAAATGAAATCTCTCAGCTGATTAGGGAACTAAGATCAATCAAACCTCTCAAGCTCAACGATGCTTAGGAAACAAGACGCCACAGGAAGTATTTATGTTAGGCCTACCCCTAACAACCATATCTCCCACAACAACACGCAGCATCCCAACACCAGCAGACCGTGACTAATGGTCAGACTTCCGACCTCTGCCACCCAACGTATCTAGAAAAACAGAGATTTCTTGAAGAGCGTTGTAACTTGAGTTGAGAGGAAGAAGAGGGGGACGCTTTGGAACAATAAGCAGTTAGTAAACCAAACACGACCTTAAGAGAAGTCAGACTGTTGCAGGCAAGGAGGTGACTTGGGAACAGTTTTTAAGAAGCAGCTTAGACGAGCTGATGCCCCATTGCGCGTTCAATCAGGGATGAGAGAATCGATGTGCCACACAGGCGCTTGGATAAACTGATGTGACGCGTGCTTCCACATCACCCCATTTGTTCTGGCTGAGACACCAAGGTTAAAGATTGGGTTGATCATTGAACATGTCCGTGTGGATTAGGGACGGGTTTAGTGATTTCGCAGGCTTAATATGTAGCACTGTGTAACTCGGGGCTGGGAGCACAACGTGAGATCGGTAAACACTCCGTGTTTGAGAATGTGGGAGGTGACGGGGTTGCTCATGAATGCGTGGGTTGTTTTCTCTATTTATTTTTGGTTGGGTTTCCTGCTGGTGATTGTGTGCTGGGAGAGTGGAACAGAGGACTCGTTCGACCATTTGTTCAGCTCAAACATTCAAAAGAAGCACTCTTAGACCTGAGAGTTAAGAGTTAATCGTATACTTGGACAAACTTTATGAGTAATTGTTAAAGGTTGAAGTCTTAATAAGCCCAACAGCTTTGTTCATTTTTATTGAAATCCCAAAGGTGTGATGAACAGTATGGAAAGAATTTGGGGTTAAAAAATTGTTTGAATTAGACAAATGATAAGTGAACTTTCTAAAATGTTTACAAATTCTTGTTATTCCCACAAACTCCACTCTTCTTTTCTAGTTCATTCATCAAAAAGGTTTTTTGTCTTCTTTCACCGTCAATGCAAAAGGACGGACAGTTTTCACCAACTCTCCCCGAAGTGCAGAGCATGCACTCGCAACCCCTCAAGGCTTCTCTCATGTCAGACACAGCTCAGATTTTTCTCTTCAAAACTGGAAATAAAGACTTTTTTTAAACATTTCTGCTATGAAAAGGGCTGGAAACATGTAGAAAGTGATATCTGCGAAGCCCAAATGTTCTTACCACTGACGATTCTGAAGGTTTTTAATACAATTTCAGCTTTGCAACAGTTACCTTTTTTTTAGGCCTAATTTTAGCTTGTATTTCTGGCTGTTGAGGTAAGGCCCATTTATTCACTCTAACCATCACTATAGACGGGTGCACATATCAGGTACACGTGTTTAACAAAATGAATGCATGTGTACCAGTTTTATTGCTACTACGCTCTTTTGTGCGCCGGTGTTACGTTGGTATGAGTTCCCTGGTCAATAATCGTTGGTCTAACAACTCCAAAATGCTCAGGCAGCAGAAAAGCAAGTTCTCATTACAAGCCTGTTCCTGTAATGCTCTGTTCGTACCACAGGGGAAATACGGCAACCACGAAAGCTCTGCAACATTGTGCGTGCTTCTGCAAACTCATTTATGAAGATATCCACAAGCTTTATGATGAGACAATCTGAAATCATGTGCAAGTCCACCTGTTTCTGTAAACTTCACTGAGCTCCAGACATAAACACACCGTCCACGACATTCTCTCCCACGTGTCTCTGATGTAATCCCACCTCGCCTTTTGTGGTTCTTCAACATTTACATTGTCTGTATTTCTATAGCGCCTTCTTAGGGTTCTACAACCCCCCAAGGTGCTTCACAACACAATCACTCATTCACACACACATTCACACGCTGGTGGTGATGAGCTACAGTGTAGCTACAGCTGCTCCGGGGCGCACTGATAGAAGCAGAGCTGTTGTACACGTGTCATCATACCCTCCAACCACCCCCATTAGGCAAGATGATTAAAGGTGCAGTATGTAAGAACATCGTATAGCATTTCACAGTAAGAAAATCCCAAAAGAGTCTAATGTTTCAGTCATTCTGGAAGGAAGGTTTTACTGAAACACATTTCATATCCAGCTGTCTGTTTTTCTTCTTCCAAAACAAAGGAAGGTGGAACGTAGCTACTGTTTAGCATCAGTGAGTGTAGGGGTGCCGTGTCTACTGTCAGCTAATACTGCAGCATCGACAATTGTAATTTGACGACGGCCGGCAAAAAACGCCAGAGTTGTTTAAAGTGGTTGCAGTAACCACATTTTACCACAGGGTGTCATGTTTACTTAATTTCTACATAATGCCCCTTGGTCTTGCCCAAAGACACGACTGCAACAGATGGGGCTCGAACCTGCAACCCTCTAGTTATGGGGCAGGCACTTAACTCCTCTCGCAAAATCGCCCAGGATAAATAAAAACAATATAAAAGTAATCAATTTTCTGCAGAACCACAACAGGTTACGTTTGTTTAGGTTAAATAAGAGTCATAAAATGTTGCCGTGGCAACTGAGTTGAATTATTCATTCACTTCATAATTATGCAGTTTTTAGTTTAATAAATATGGTTAGAATGAAAATGCTAAATTCTGCTAAATAAAAACCGAATAAGCGTAATTCAGGGAAATTGAATCTGGTTTTATAGGACCCCGTTGGTGTTGGTTGAAGTTTCTGGTAAAATACCTCCATAACTTTTCTAGAATGGTGTTGATATTCATACCAATGAACCGATTAGTGAGTGCTCCTAGAGTTAGTGTCATAAAGGGAAACACAAAGAAGGGTGGTAACCACTGCAGTAAAAAGAAAAGTATCTGCACAAATGTAAAGAACTCAAGAACACCCTAAAATGGTCACTTTTGGTGACATGGCCATGAAAAATAACCTGGTGCCTCAATAATCCAGGAAAATCCTTTAGGCCGTGATAGTGCTCCTCACATCCCAGCATTAGCTACCGGAGCTGAGTGGTGATGGATGCAGCTGCTGACTTGAATCAAGCTCCTGAGACCCGGTGCCCTGGTGTAGCCGTACTGTATGTCTGAGATGTTTGTGTATCTATCTGTCAGCAGGGGATGGGAGAATAAAGTTCCACTTCCTTATTAGAAAAGACCCCAGCTGGCCCTAAAGCTCTCCTTCAATAAGAGTTGAACAGGAACCGAGGGTTTTTTCAGGCTGATGGCCAAAAACCTCCTGAGGGCAAGCAGTCAGACAGCACACACACATTTGTCTCTCACAGGGTCACACACAAGTCCACATGACAGGGGTTCACGCCCACCAGCAGATGGAAAATCCGGATTACCTTTCTCTGCAGTTCACTAGACAATACCGTCCACTATTAGCTTGTCTTAAGATCCAGCTCTGTTTCAGAGCATCAACGTCAAATATAATTCAGCTTCACAAGAACTCCGACGGGGGGTGAATATCCAGGGGTATTACCGCACAAAACCACTGTAGGGCTTTACATAAATGTAGTTTTCCCTAGAGGCCCAGCGATGAGGACAACTCACTACCAGTCATGGTTAAAGACCCTGAACATGAGCTTGTTTTCAGCTGTTCACATCTCCCAAGATGAGCATACCCTGACTGTTCCAGTTAGTCAGACGCCAAGACAACCACTGACCGACCGCAAACCTCCATGGACTCCAAGCGTCTCTGAAATCTTGTTGTGAAATGGCAAACTTGAGCATTTGTAATTATTCATTAGCTTTTTAGCGACTGCTCTGTCATCAGCAGACCGATTATCTCCGTTACCTCAGCCCGACTTCATTTGTCATGTCTTACAGCTAAAAGTGATTCAGAGTGTTTCACAAGCCTTCTGCTCAGCGAATTGTGCTGCACCAGAACTGCTCGCCTTGAGACAACTGTGAGTTGTTGACTTGACTCTTTCCTTTTGACGGTCACAAGGGACCCAAAAACAAGGGATGTGTTTATAAAGCTGAAGCGTAATCAGGGACAACCCAGGCAGGGAGGTTATCTAAACACGGACTTATCTGGTAGGATTTCAAGGCAAATACCGGGAAACATTGAGTTATTTACCATGGCAACATGGGTACAATGGCAAAGTTATTTTCAGTGTAATTAAGCTGATTGCTCTTTTATATTCAAGGATGTTCAAGACTGAAGAAGAAGGGATGTTTTTGGCCACTTGGAAGTGAGTATACTACTACTTGTAGGTAGATTCTTGAACGATCTCCATAGAAGAAAGTTTACGTGCCAGACGTCTGATGAACTACCAGCCAGTCTGAATGCAGCCAAAACCAAATGATTTTCCTTTAGCTGCTATCAGTTTTGTTTTGTTTGGCCAATTTCATCAGAAAACAAAAAGAAGATATGTAATATTTGCGGTGAGATACCTGTATTATTCAAATATGTGAATGTGATTAAGCTAAATATGTCATTTAATACTGCAGAGGTGTGTGTGTGTATTATGTTTCAAAAGATTTGGGGAAACTCAACCAAATGCATTAGTCTGTGTGTTCCAAATAGATACAGATGAACCAGGTGGTTTGGTGGACCTCAAACCAACAGCACACCTTTGAGATGTTGTTAGTTGTTTCCCTGCTCCAGAGGCATGTCCTCAAACTTTCAGAGAGGCCTCTAAAGCACAAGGGATATGGTCCCTTGAGGAACAGGAACCAGTGCTTGTAGAAGAATAGTAAAAAAAATCCCCAATCCATTCT